CACCAGGATTTAAGTACTTCATTCACCATTGTTTGAAATCATCAGCTGTTCATTTGTGTGTGGAATCAGATATTTTGGGAATTCAAAGGTCTCTCACCAAATGAAATTGGTGAAGGCTCAGATCTGACTGTCCGGGGAATTCCCAGCAGAAGGGCCCCTGAAAGGCAAAGATGGACGTTCCCAAGTCACACAATTATATCAGCTCTCCATCTTTATTCTCACACACACTGACACACACACACACACACACAGATCTGCACACAATCCCAGCCGACCAGGTTTTATGCAAAAGCAACATGTTCTCCCTGGAAAATAATGCATCCCCTGGCTTTTGAGTTATTTAAGCTACGAGCTCATCTCTGCTGGCTCAGCTTCCTCCCGGGTGCGTGTTCGGCCCCGTTATGACTAATTTTACACGGAGAGGACGGGGGAACACTGGCTCTGCACCGGCTCCGTGGCTGTTGGCGCTGGCTGGCTGGTTGTTCAAACACTATCGCACTCTGGTAGAACATTTTATCTCCTCAGCACGCACACCTTCACAGGTGTTCAGCACCGATCTGTGGATCCACTGTCGCCACCCAACTGTGGCACGCGCTCAAAATATTTATAGACGGCGAGATCGAGAACAGAGAAGCAAATAATATCACCTGAGTGCCACATGTGAGAATTGTTGGAATTGCAATTATAATTTAAATTAAAAGCATGCTGCCTTTGAGTCCCCAGAGCAGTATTTCTGATATTTCTTCTCAAATTGAAGCTGTGAACTATCTCAGCAGCTGCTCTGATAGCTGAAGTGTCTTTAGAGGAGGAGGTGTTCACAGGTTAAACCGGCTGATTCTTATCTACTGTCCCTAAAAGCAAAGAAATAAGATCTGGAATCTCTCTAAAAGATATGAGGAGATGACAGAGGACAGGAGGAGGAGAGAACAGGGAGAGGGCGGTATTGATTTCCTATGCTAGAAAGGACACGCTAGCAGAAGTCTCAGAACATGCAGAGAGAAGCAACAGGGCCTTCAGTTTACCGGAGGGCTCCAGTACCTACAAGCTACAGTGCAGACGGCTTCCTGTGCACTCAGATCACTGGCTGCTATCTGTGCTTGTGCTTGACCCGGGGCCAGCCACAGAACTTTTCATAACAGCGAGCGCTGCGGTTGCTGGTGGAACACACACGTACTTACAGATACAAATATGTATTATCCTGCTAAAGTGTGTGTCCACCATACAGTCACACACTCCCCGGGGTAGCTTCAGGTCACCGGGGTTATTACAGTCAAACACCGGTAACGAAGGCCTGGAGCTCCTCACACACAGAGGAACACAAAACGCCGCTGCTCGCATTTCCAACAAACAAATGTTGTGATGGGGAGGCTCATCAACCACGGTTTCAGAAATTCAATTTATGCGTTTGCAAAAAAAAAAAAAGCAGAAATTTGACAGTTGGAATTGAAGCTGGGTGGCCCAGAACCTTCAGAAGTTCATCAGGTGCTTTTCCTTCTGAACGTGTCGGCAGGATGTTGGATGAGCGAGAAGTCTGGGCGGCCGTTGTTGTGGTGACTAAGCACACACTGAGTGGACTGTCTGTGGGAACAAGCCACCGTCCAGACTGCTGGACAGATACAATGACTGAGGTGCTCTCATTTTCATTGTCACTGCTCCCGGGCCTGACGCCACGTCTCGACAGCCTCACATTTTTTTTTGGCCCCGGCTGATGATGTCAGCGTCACCCCTTGAACAAGCGTCTTGTCTGGAGAAGACAGCGGACAGGCACGGCGAGCTCTGAAGGCTGGATCACGCTGGCAAGAAGGACGGGCCGATAAAAAATGTAAATTGTGAGAGATGTAAATGAAGATTTGCATATCAGTGTATATTAAGCAAAAGTGCAATGATTGGGAATCTTTGTGCTCCTATAAAAGAACACTGTTTTACTGCCGAGATGCCAAGAGAATGTTTTTTTTTAATCCAAAAGCGACCACAACTATAAATAAATGTGCGAGATATGAGCTTTCTCTAGCAGCAAAGGTTAAGGGTGGACGGAGGAATGCATGCACAGAAAGAAGACAAAAGGAGGGGAGAGAGGTTATTTGGAAAACGGCTTAAAATGCAGAAGGAAAGAGCAGCTTAAGGTCGGCATAAGTCAGGATAGAGAAAACCTCCGAGGTAAAGCCTATGGACAGTGCGTGGGTGGTGCCTGTTGACCGTGGGGTCGCTCATTATCAGCGGAGAAGGGCCAGGCCTCCCAGAGTCCTGCACAATTGTCTGGACAACCCAGGTGCACGGCCCATTCAGACCACAGGAAGCCCCCTTTATCCCCTATTCCTCCCCAAAATGGACGGAGAAGTGGTCAAGGAGGGTGAATGTGATCCTGTCTTTCTCTACCGCTGACCTAGAGCTGCCGTCGCATGCCTATCCAGGCCTTTGGCTCATTGTGGGGATCTACAGAGTCATTGTGGTGTGTCTTTCTCTGAATGCTTGGCTAAAGCGCAGTTCTGTCAGGGGGAAAAATAAAAGAATATCAAAAACACGTCAGCTCTTTTCACCCTCTCTCCGGTGCACATTCTTCGCAGGAACAGGTGAGAGTGAATGGGAATAAAATGAGCATGTTCAGGAGTTGTAAAAGGCTCAGGTGGGAGGTCTTGCACGCCGTAAAAATGGCCAGATTCCATCACTTCCTCCGCACTAATTACCATACACTTGGAGCAAGTGGCCTCCTCCTCCCTCCTCAGCCCAGGGCCCTGCTTCACCAGCTCACGCAGACGCACAAACACTAACGCACGGACGCACAATGACACACAGCGAGGTGCAGTTGGGAAATGGTTAACACTCCAGCCGTCCCCTGCTGCCAGTGAAAGCCCGCAAAACAATGGAGACATTGTTGGGCCAGGGCTAGACTCTAGACTCTAAGGCTGTGTGTGTGTGTGTGTGTGTGTGTGTGTGTGTGTGTGTGTGTGTGTGTGAATGTCAGAGAGTAGTTTGTGCTGCTCTTGCTCTTAACCTGTTTTTCCCCCAGTTTCCAGAACGGGGCAAATCAAGAAACGTGATTCAATCAGAGCGACTTTCACACCTCACCGCAGAAGCATCTCCGACTGGAAGGAAAACAGAAGCTGTGATCACATGACTTTGAGAGAAGATGTCATGACATGACCACCATGAGCCGGCCTCCTGCTGAGTCCTTACTGTTGATGCTATCAACACACAGTCTAAGCCGTGGATTTACTAAACAGTCCTCGGCTCTGCTGTGTCACTGGGCTAATGCACTAATGGCTGCCCAAAAAAAAGGTGCAGATGAGACTGATAGGACGCACACACCTCCTGCTAAATGTGACAGCGAGCTCTGAGCTGCTTCCTGCTGCTAAGTGTCCACAAAGACTCTTCAAGTCCACAATGTCAAATTAAAACATCACAATGAAAGGCGGGATGACAAAGCGAGGACTGTTTATGATCTCTCCCTCAGGAGCTGTGTGAAGCAAAAAAATAATAAAAAATGTTTCTTGGAGTCTCTCCCTCAAAAAATACACATCAATAGGTGGATAAATATTGAATAACTTTCAGCCAATGGCATAAAAGTTCAGCGGCGGCAGGTTTTGAGGCTGCCTGCGGGGTGGTCAGGCACTTCAAAAGGTCCTGCGTGGCCCCTTTTGAGGGCATGGTAAACAGGGGCATCCAGCCTGGCCTCACAGACACCAGCCTGCGTGAGGTCACTTCCTCTTTCCTCGGCTGATCCTCCAGCGCTTCACCTCAGCTGAGCTTCCAGACAGAAAACGAAACCATCCGTCTGCATCTCTGTCCCTGTCCGTCTCACTCCTATCCGTCTCCTCCATCGCAAGCTTCCTCAGAGGTCTTTATCTGCAGCCATCTTTGCTTCTATCTCTGTCTTTCTATTGTTGTTTCAACCGTCTCTGGGTCAAACAGGCTTCAGATCGCTGTTATCTAGCGAGCCAATCAACGGCTTCTTATCGCCGCCAATTCCAGCGCGCTAGTCAGCCAGAGGTCAAGGTGCTGGAATATTTCCTTGCATTTGTAAACAAAGAGAAACTACCGTTTACAGCCCAGTTCATCGATAAGGAGCTCACGTACTGGAACGTGCGAGCTTGATAAAAAAATAAATAAAACAGAAGAGCTTGACCGACTGAGTGACACCTGCGGGAGTCCGTGTGGGGTTATCATTGGAATTCACAACGCTGTTCATAGTAATCTGTCTTTTCTGTATCAACGACAGCCAGTATGATGCAAACCAGGGAAACATTCGATCACACTTCCTTCTCAGTCAGAGGTGGATGCTGGAGCAGGATGGAAGGAGCGCCAACAATACAAGCTGCATTTCACATCCAATTTCATCACTTGTACTAACAGCCGGTTGTGTGCCTATGCAGCCGATGCTGCAATGCCTCTGATCTCAGCAGCCTGTGTACTCTATCAAACAGATCACACTGGGGTTGGGCAATATGACCACAAATATTACAATATATTCTCTCATACTGATCAATGTCAGCACTAATCACTATATACGTTTAATAGTGCTCCTTCTACTGCAGTCTGCTTTGGTTTCTGCTTAAAGCCTGAAGAAAGACAAGCGGAGGCTTCACAGACTGAGTTATTAAAGCCTGTAGAAGAGGCCTTTGGAGCTGAAGCACATCGCTTAACATTACTTTCATTCTGGGATAAAACCTCCTCACCAGCTTCTGTCCTAATCAGGACCAAACTAAACCCATCTGGGCCCAAACTCTAACACGGTCCAAACAGCACCACTGAACAGAACCAGTGAGTGAACATGTAGAAATTCCACAGAAGCATTTGCAATTTTCTGTTACTGTTAAACCAATGTAGTCCACAGTGAGCTTCACGTGGCAGGACTCCACTCAGACATACAACCGCCATACGACGGAGATTTCAGGGTTCTCTTCTTTCTTAATGGGCACAGTCAGTTTTTCACTCGCATGTTTGTTTCTACATCCCACTAAGCCATTACTTATCACCAATTTATGTCTCTCATCTTCTCATGTAAGCCAGTAGGAGCTACGCTGTTGTGAATGGGTCTGTACTTCAGCCAGCTTGTTTTTTCCATCTGACTGGTTGTCCATCTTTGTTGTTTCAAGTTTGTTTTTGCCCCACAGCCAGTTTCTGTTTTGTGATGAATAGCTGGTGTTGCTTGTTTGTTCCCAGCCTGTTAGTGCTGCTCGCTGGACGGACTGACTGGAGCGCAGCTTCCTTCACATGTTGGAAAAACAGATGTTTACATTCATACAACGTGTTTTTATCAAAAGTAGTTCAGCACCTAATTCATCACCGAGCAGACGAGCGATGTGCATGAGTCGTGGTACGATGTACCGAACGCAGCAAAAGTTAGAGCAGCAGCATTCTTCTCAAACTTCCTGAACACAGTGAAGCGACTTGTGCGTATGTGAGGTGGTAAGTATTTACAGCCGTATGACTCATAGCAGGATAAAACCTCAAGTATTTACCTGCAGCTTTCTGCTGCCCACGACCAGTTTAATGACTTCATAGGAGTTGGGACTCTTTTTCTCAGCGTCTCCTAAAATAACAGAGTAAGAAGAGGCCCCCTGAACCCTTTGGTATAAAAATAACACCAGCATCGCAGGGGAAGATAAGGAGGGCCTGAGCCGGGCTTGTTTTGTTCAGAATAACACTGTCATCGCAAGCTCTTTGTCTTAAACACCACTTTTGACAGGGTTTCTGTTTCAAATAAACAGCCCTGTCAACTCCCGCTATTTTAGGCTGCGCTTAACTTAAACGGGCAAAATACCGAGGAGGCCTGAGCTTGCCAACTTTGAAGTAACAGTTTGAGATGGTATTTATTACAGAGCATAAAAGCAGAAGAAGTGATCCAACGTCCACGGTGACTCAGAGGGACACCGTGTCTTGATAGCGTAATCTGGGCAATAAAATTCATCACGAACTTCTGTGGGAGCTCCAGAGCCGTGGCCACAACCGACTGTGCCGTTTCACAGAAAACGAAAAAGGGCTCACCCTGAGTTATTCGCTCCGACGGCGAGCTGCTGCCACGGTGGGATGCTGCACGCGCTCAGAAGGCTGCGCTTTCTCAAATCGTTAAGCGCTTTTCAAATTTGTTATTTTCATAACAATATGTTGATGCAAGACTCCAAAACAAAAGTAAGAACTGTGCCGATAAGGGCCCAGGGCATCAGCGGTCACCTCACTAATTCTGCTCAATCCCCACTCTCATTGATTTTCCTGACTCGCTAACCCTGTGACCACATACGTACACCTCCCTATGTTCAACCTTTCCGCTGACCTCTTGAAAACTTTAAGCCTTTGGCTAACTACTAAGTTCACATTCAGCTGTTCATTCTAGAGCTGTTAGCCTCTTAGATATTGACATGCCTGGGGTGGATGCTCTGTTATTTGTATGTACTGCATATGCCCCTATGGCTGTCCAGCCAACTCTCCTGCCAGAGTACTTCTCCAACTCCATGGATAGTGTAATCAATGTTGAAGGAACGCCCACACTTCCCTCAAAGACAGTACGTTAGCAGCCCAGCGTGAGCTTATTCTCATGAAAAAAAAAAAAAAAAGTTGTCAACGTGAGACCAGCTTTCCGTAAATCATCCAGCTCAGTGCAACCTGGGAGTTATCATGGACCTGGAGATTACAGACGCCATGGCTGTCCAAAGAACAACTACTGCACCTGCACGGCGGCCACTCGCCTCCCGATCACTCACTGACAAAAGCTCCACTATCTGGGATCCACAAACCTCCAAACGTCAGAATGCACACACATACAGGAACACAGAACGGACTCAGACAAATCCAGGAAAAGCAAGGCAAGCAGGCTTTGTTCCTTCTGTCATGAACAAGGGAAGAAGAGCTGGTGAAAGAGGAAAAGGACCGGGCGGAGTGTTACTTACAACGATGTGTGCCGGTGACGGGGACCTGGCATCTTTAAGTGCTTGTCTACTTTGAAGACCTCCTGGTTGAACATCTAGCAGGGGCCATTTCATCTGTAGGTACTGAATGGCAGAAAGGAAACAGAATGGAAAGAAAGAAAACAAAACATGTTAACAATGCAGAACTCAAAAACCAAAGGAACAAATTAAAAATAGGACAAAAAAAGGGGAGACGACATTTCTTGACAAGTGTATGGGTGTGGAAACTCAAAAACATGGAAAAGCAAATAAAGATCTTAAGGCGGATGGTGGAAGGGGTGAGGATGGCCTGGAGCCTGCATCTGAGAGTCCAGCAGGAGCGTAAACCAAGAAACACACTTCTGCTGCTGCTATCTCACAAAACTTGTGCTTCTGCAGCCAGGCTCCCAGCTCCATTCATTTTGGTTTTCTCAAATTAGTCTTCAAAGGTATCAATAGTTGAGCCCCAGAGCGTCTCTCTCCACGAACAACCAAAGAAAAGACAGTAAGAGCAACTCAGAGCAGAGTGAAGGGTAAAACACCAGATCGTACATCAGTGTCTCCATAAAAACATTCACAACTTTACGTTAATCCCATACGTAAAACCTTGGTTTGAAGCAAGTCAGCGCTGCAGCCATGTTCAGATAATCTGTGGTTTTCCTCTCATGTATCTCTGTTCATGTGTCCTGGGAGGTGGATTCACTGGACCTCCATGTGAGCAGAGAGCCATGATGAACCTGGAAACCCGAAGCTCACAGCGTGTTGGACAGTCAGCTTGTTTCTCTTAAAAATCACCAAAATTATTCAGAAACTGTAAAAAAAACAAAAACAAAAACAGGGTTCCTGGACTTCTTATGTGCCATCGTGATATTTCCTGAAAGTCACTTCATTCTTTATTTCTCATTCAAACGTTTTCATAAAGGTTCTGAGAGTCTGAGCTCCACAGTGCAGCTCAGTGAAGCCCAAATCCTCGGCTGAACTGCAGGCTGTGTTTACACAAAGCAGAGCGGAGACAAGCATGGAAACGGATGTACGTAGTAAAATGTGGGCACTTGGATCAGCGGTGCACATGGTGAGATGTCATCAGAACCTGTGTTTCCATAGAGGGGCAGGACTTCATACTGTAGTGACAACACAGTGAACAGACCAGGAGCTGCTGGTAGTTCACAGATAATTTAATCTAAAGATTTAAATGTAGTGTTGATGTAAAAGCTGAAACTCAGCAAAACCTATAAACTGTCAACACGCTGCGTTGTGCCGATCCAGAAACAGCTCCACATTCAGAGCAAGCAGGATTCCTTTCAATCTATTTGTTTTTAATTAAGCAGCAGATGCGTGATTTGGAATTTCACCGAGTCACGTATGTGGAGTGGAGGACGAGGAGGGCTGGCGCTGTGCATGCGCTTATGGCTTTAAGATGACCTCATGTCATAAATGTGACTGTTGTCAGAACTTTATTGGAAGCCATAAAGCGGGTAAAGCGTGGCGTCTCACCACGCTCCTCTGAAAAACCTCCTGACTGCTCCCATAAATGATTGACTTGGCCTCTATCAGAAGTCTTTCTCCCACCCTCCTCCTCCTCCTCCTCCTCCTCCTCCTCCTCCTCACACATGCACAGAGACACAGATAAGCAGAAACAAGGGTCATGAGAAACATCTGTCTGACTAATAAACTGGGTGGAGTCCTCTTTTTAATCTGATGACATCAGCTGTGTTGACTTAAAATGGACGTCCTGGTACCTGAAAACGCTTCACGTATTTATAACTTAAAAAACAGGAAAAATGCAGGAATCTGCTGTCGATAAAAACACTCTGCTGAGAATACTACGAGCAGAAAACTCTTCTCTCTCTGCAGGTTTTCCAGCCACTGACTCTCTGCTGTTGACTTAGCTCCAGCATGTGGTCCAAACTCTGCTGATCGCTGTCACAGCCGCCTCGTCTGAGGGAACGAGGTCGCAGCAGCTGTTTCAGCTGTGAGCCGAAGACCCGAAAAGTTTTGAAGAACGGAAACTACTGCGGAGTTCAAACTCGGGCTGAACGCAGTGCAAAAAACACACAACGCGATGACCTTTGAAGAACTGCCTACTTCAGTTTCATTACTTGAAACACTGAGCGTCTTTCTGAAGGAAGGCAGCTCCCGCTACATGGACACAATGACAAACCGCTTTCGTAAAATATATCAAATAAAAGCCTGAAAGGTCCACATCGCTTCACATCCAAGTCCTAGCGGTAAAAACAGTTTGTCTCAGGAAACTAAATGAAAAAACAGGAGCGATCTGTGCAGCTGGCTAATTAATGCAAAGGAGGGGAGCAGGCCTGTAACCTCGCTGCCACAGACACTCATTAAAAACTGGCCAGATAGTGTGAGCTGCTTTATTACACACCACCTAAAAAAGCAAAAAAAGAAAACGTGACAGTGGGTCTGTGATGCCATTTGGACAGAAACCTTTAACATGATCAGAAAACCTGAACACTGGAGCTCCTCTCTTCTCTTAGATTGAATTTCACGAGCGACTTAGATCATGTGCTTCTTTGCAATAATGACACAAGACCTGAGTCTCCGTAATTATTGAACCCAGGATCACATGTTGGTGACAGAAACCTCAGGCTGTTTCTATAACAGTGCAACCATCATCTGCTCCTCTGAAGGAGTCCTCCCAGTGCTGAGCGACCTGAGCCAGCGGTTCGGCACTGTGTGGTGATGCAGGTACATTAGATTCAGTTTCACTGTGTTGCCATCCTGCAGAAGGTGACCACTAGTTTGTATGCACGTCTCAGAGCATGTGTGGATGTGTGTGTGTGTCGGCGCTGGTCAGAGAGCGAGTGTGTCGCGACCCTTCCCGAGACTGTGTCTAAATCAGTGGTAATTAGCGAAGAGTTCACTGTGGGGTGCCAGCCAGTGGTAGACGCTGGAGGGAGTTATTGACTCCATGTCCTCAGTTACAGCCCATGCAAGGAAAAAACTGTTTGCTGCCTGGTCTTTCTCCACCACTAACACTCGTTTATGACCCAAAGATGGCTTTTTACTGCTAAAAACCCCGTTTGTTTATGCTTGTTTGTATGTCCTCAGAGTGGAAAAAGGAAAGGTTGTAAAACTCCAGAGTTGAGGTCTTGCGGGTTTTTATGGACCCCCCACACTGGGTATTAATTGCCATGAAGGGGAGAGAAGGAGGAGGAGGAGGAGGAGGAGGAGGAGGGTGGTGTAACAGTAAAACAGGAGGAGGAGGAGGAGGAGAGTGACGGGGCTGCTGTCATCTATGAGGTAATTCAAGACAGTGTCCGATGGTGCTGGAAAAGACGGGAAAAGGGGGCGACTGAGAACCGTGTCATGGGAAAGTCTTGCACATGCTCACACACGCAAATATTCCAACACAGCTGCCGGCGGCGGGGAGAGGGGAGGACCGGGAGGACATTCTGAGGAGGTGGCTGAGGAGCGTGAAGGTGACACCCCCGAGTGTGGCCGCGGCGCAGCGAGACAGCAGAAAGCCCCGGCCGAGGAGAGGAGGTGCTGAGGGGAGGTGGTGCTGAGGGGAGGTGGTGCTGAGGGGAGGAGGTGCTGGAGCGCATGCCCTGACAAGTGGCTCCACTTCAGCCCCGCTATTGCAAATGTTCTCACACACTAATCTCTCCTGCAGATTTTATAAGCATGCCGAGGAAAACGGAGCCTTGGCAAGCACCGGGCTTCCCGACCACCCCTCCTTGGCCTCCTGCCTGCCTCCCTGTCTGGCCCGCTAACGGACACGCTGCCTGGGCTTGAGCGGGCCGTGACCTCCGACCCGGCTCAGGCCCCTCCCTGCTCCCCTCACGCTGCTATGAGGGCCCCCCGTGTAACTCAAGAGCCATTCCAATGTGACAAATTGCTCCGGAGTTCCAGGATAACTCTCTCTTCTGCCCCGTCTCTCCCACCCCCACCCCCACCTCCACACACACAAACAGTGAGCTGCCCCTCTGGCCGGACCCCCGCCCGCCCTGGAAGAGCCGCCCGGTGGTGGTGTTCCGGCTCTGGGGCTGTGCAGCCGTCTCTCCTTTTTCAGCCTCCCCCTGCTCTCCTCCCCCTGCCCTCCTCCCCCTACGCTGCGCCTCCTCCTCGCCCGGCCAGCCCCACAATGGGAGCTGAATGACTCAATTGTCTCTGATGAAGTGAAAGACAAGGGAGTCCTCTAAATCCTTACAGAGGGATGAACTCGCCCTCACTGTCCTGATTTTGCTGCCGTTCACTGCTTTCCCAAGCACAAGGAGGGGACTGGGGGTGGGGTTGTTTACCAGGGCTGCAACCTATCATTAATTTCATGATTGATTATTGGATCTAATAAAGTGCATGTCTATAAATTTGTCAGATTTACTGGAAGCTCTCGAGGTCCCAAGTTGACGTCTGATCAACAAACCAAAGTATTTTCTTACTCTGAGGGAACCAGAACCAGAGTTAGTCATTCTGGCAAAGCAAATCCAACCGCTGACTTGTTTCAGCACCATTTAGCTGCTCCGCTACGGACTGGACCATTCAGCCGGTACGTGACTGACTGCTGCTCTACCAAGGCCGGGCATGTTCGGAGCTGCACAGTGTTGACCCAGATCCACGCTGCCTGTCATCGCAGTGAAGTCAGGCGTTGGGGGGCCTGGTGCCGGTGCACAGCTTGTTGCAAAGAGGGGAAGCCGGCTCCAGACAAACTGGGGGAGTATTCACACATCGTCCTCACACATCCACACTGCTGCAGTGCCACCACTGATGGTTCTAATTCAACAAGCTGGCACAGAAGCAGTTTGGATCTCCCTGGTGCCACTGCTGCACTCTCTCCAAAAACAAACCATTTTCTTCTGCGTCCTATGAAGCATTAGCCGAACGGCGACGGAGAGGAGGAGCCTTACTCTACCTCCTTTTGTGACAGACTCGTCAACAAGCGGCTTCTTTCCATCCAATCTGACGTGTTTATCACATGCGGCCCGGCGGCGGCAGCGCCAAGCCACCGCGCCGCTTGCTCGTTTTGTTTTGGATTAAGAGCAGAGGGCTCGAGACCAATCAAACAAACAGAGCTCCTTATGTGCCAATGTGGCGCCCAAACACTGGTCTGCTTTCCAGCAGGGGGACCAGGAGACAAATGA